TCTGATGTATGACCACTCCCTCCTCTCTCTCTCTCTCTCTCTCCCCCTCCATCCCAGGTTGGAGATTTTCTCTGGCTCGCTGATTGCACCCAAAGGTGCAGCTGTGACTCCTCTGGTACTTTCAGGTGTGTCCCCGCCAGCTGTAACCCCGGCCAGCAGTGTGCTGTGAAGGACGGGAAGTTGGGCTGCCAGAGCCAGCTGAGCACGTGCACGGTGACAGGCGACCCTCACTACTTCACCTTCGATGGGGCTGTGGCCCATTTCCAGGGCACGTGCGCCTACGAGATCTCACACACCTGCAACTCCTCCCTCGACTTCTCCTTCCGGGTGGTGGCCGCAAACAGGAATTTCTGGAATCCCCGGGTCTCCTTCATTTACCGAGTGGAACTTTGGCTCAGAACTGGCCATTTTAATTCCCATGTCGTTCTGGAGCGAGGCAAAGACGTTCTGGTGAGTTGAGCTCTTTAACCCATTAGCAGAAAGGACAAAGGAGAAACAGCCACAACTATCCATCTCTCATAGGTGTTTATCTGGCTCCCATCGCCATAGGATCCAAGCGCCTCCTGTTCTTGAAATCATTTAACCTCACAACCCTCCTGTGAGGCATGGAAGTGCTATTATCCCCATTTCACAGATGGGGAAACTGAGGTGCAGATTTCAAGATCTTCTATGATTTCTGTAGGAGTTAGGTACCTACGTACCTTTGAGTATCAGCACTAGAGAGACTAAGGTATTGAGGTGGTTAAAGCTGCTAATAGCTGTCCAGTGGGTTTTTCAGAGCACCAGGGCACTTTTGAAAACCCCATTAGTATCTATCTGCTTTGGGGGGAGGGATAGCTCAGTGGTTTGAGCATTGGCCTGCTAAACCCAGGGTTATGAGTTCAATCCTTGAGGGGGCCACTTGGGAATCTGGGGCAAAATCAGTACTTGGTCCTGCTAGTGAAGGCAGGGGGCTGGACTCAATGACCTTTCAAGGTCCCTTCCAGTTCTAGGAGATGGGATATTTCTATTTTCTTTAGGGGCTGACATACCTTTTGAAAATCTGGCCTTAAGGGACTTGCCCAAGGTCACACACTGTCTGTGGCAGACCCAGGACTTGAACCCTGGCCTCCTAGCAGCCAGCCCATTCAATTCTTACCCTACCACAAGGCAAATAATGGGAGACATCCAAGGGGAAGCAGGGCTTCAGTTGGGATTGTCCTGAGAGCGCCTCTCCCTCTAGCTGTGCGCTGGGACTCACCTTGGATAACCACCTGCCCCCTCTGGAGTTATTGGCCTTCAGCTTCTGCTTTTTGTCAGCTTTGTGCCTGGACTCAGTGCCTCCTCCCTGGGGAGAGGTCATTTAACCTTGGTGATTTACAAAGGCATGAGGCAGCCCTGTGCTTCCCGGTGCAGACTGTCTGCATCGGAGGTGGGGAGGTCACAGCATGGCTGGGGAGAGCAGGCTCTGGAGATGCTACCCCATCCCAGCACGTACAGGCAGGCAGGGGTGAGGAATGGGTGTAGCCTTGACATCGCTCCCAGCGCACTGGCCAGAAGAGCTAAACTGTACAGAGAGATGACGGGTATAGACTGACAGCGGATTGCTTCCCCCTTTGCTCCCGGCAGTAGATCAGTTGTGCCTCTGAGAGTCACCAGCCACTGCTTGGTCAGGCCCCGTACTGGCATAGCCCCTTTCCAGTCCTTGTAACAAGTTACAGCACACGGACTTTGTCTGCTGCTTGCCTCTTCCTGTGTCGTTTTGAGATCGCTATTTTATAGATCTAGCGCCTCAGATACCATGGCGGCCACTGTACAGCAACTTCCATGTGGTTTTATGGCTGGAAATATTCTTTATCGTGCTGCATGGAAAATCCCCTCTGTAATTCCTTGGGAATAGTTCTGTTACCTAGTCAGGAGGACACACCCCAGTCTCAGCCCATCTCCCGTCCTGTTTCAGGTTGATGGGACAAAGACCCCTTTACCGGCCCAGCTGGGACCCGTGGCCAACATCACCAGGGTGAAAAACATGGTGACTCTGAAAGCAGGCGCCAACGTGGAGATCCAGTTTAATGGCCGCCATGCCTTGTTTGTCCGTGTGGGCCCGGAGTATCGGGAGCAGCTGTGCGGGATGTGTGGGAACTTCAATGGGGATCGCAGGGATGATATAATCCTGCCCAATGGGGAGAGAGCTTCGAACGACGCAGAGTTTGGGAATGCCTGGACCTCTGACATCAGCCCACCAAGGTGTGTTTGTTATCTGTTGATCTTCCCTCTTTGTTGGTGACTGCCTGTTTCCATGGCCACATCTGTTCTTCTCCCTACACTTTGTTGCTCTAGATTATCGCCTCTTTCTCTGTTCAGTATATTGTCATGGCAGCATCTCCCCTTCCATTCCCATCTGGTAACCATAGAACACATGCCTTTGTCAATAAATTATTGATCTCTGTTTGTTTATACTCTACTCATTGTTCTTTACTCAGGGAGAAAATATCTTTACCTGACAAAGATTTAAAGGGTCCCTATTGAAGCTGAGATGGTTAATTGTTACCCTGGAAAAGGTCCAGAGAAGGGCAATGAAAAAGATTAGGGCTGTTTCCATATGAGGGGAGCTTAAAACCAGGGATTGTTCCACTTAGAAAAGAGACGGCTAAAGGGGAATATGAAAATCATGAATGGTATGGAGAAAATGAATAGGGACCTGTTATTTATCCCTTCACATAACACAAGAACTAGGGCTCACCTGATTAAATTAATGTGTCAGGTTTAAGAAAAAAAAAAGGAGGTACTTTTTCACACAACACGCAGGGTTTGTTGTGAAGGCCAGAAGTATAACTGGATTGAAAAATTAATTAGATAAGTTCCTGGAGGATAAGTCAGCAAATTAAAGAAGTATGAATTGGATGAATGGACAATAAGGTGAATAGAAAGCTGGCTAGATCGTCGGGCTCAACAGGTAGTGATCAACGGCTCAATGTCTAGTTGGCAGCCGGTAACAAGCAGAGTGCCCCAAGGGTCGGTCCTGGGGCCGGTTTTGTTCAACATCTTCATTAATGATCTGGATGTTGGGATGGATTGCATCCTCAGCAAGTTTGTGGATGACACTAAAATGGGGAAGAGGTAGATACGCTGGAGGGTAGGGATAGGGTCCAGATTAACCTAGACAAATTGGAGGATTGGACCAAAATACATCTGATGAGGTTCAACAAGGACAAGTGCAGAGTCCTCCACTTAGAAAGGAAGAATCCCACGCACCGCTACAGGCTGGGGACCGACTGGCTAAGCGGCAGTTCTGCAGAAAAGGACCTGGGGATTACAGTGGATGAGAAGTTGGCTGTGAGTCAGCAGTGTGCCCTCGTTGCCAAGAAGGCCAACGGCATATTGGGCTGCATTAGTAGGAACATTGCCAGCAGATCCTGGGAAGTGATTATTCCCCTCTATTCGGCACAGGCAAGGCCACATCTGGAGTATTACACCCAGTTTTGGGCCCTCCACTACAGAAAGGATGTGGACAAATTGGAGAAAGTCCATCAGAGGGCAACAAAAATGCTTAGGGGGCTGGAGCACATTATTTATGAGGAGAGTCTGAGGAAACTGGGCTTATTTAGTCTGCAGAAGAGAAGAATGAGGAGGGATTTGATAGCATCTTTCAACTACCTGAAAGGGGATTCCAAAGAGGATGGAGCTCGGCTGTTCTCAGTGGTGGCAGATGAGACCATTGCTCCTTGTTCTGTCAAGTTGCAGTGGGGGAGGTTTAGGTTGGATATTAGGAAAAACTATTTCACTAGGAGGGTGGTGAAGCACTGGAATGGGTTACCTAGGGAGGTGGTGGAATCTCCATCCCTAGATGTTTTTAAGGCCCAGCTTGACAAAGCCCTGGCTGGGATGATTTAGTTGAGGTCGGTCCTGCTTTGAGCAGGGGGTTGGACTAGATGACCTCCTGAGGTCTCTTCCAACCCTGAGATTCTATGATTCTATAATAAATCCATCCATGGCTAATAACCAAGATAGTTAGGGATGCAGCCCCATGCTCTGGGTGTCCCTCAACCTCCAACTGTCAGATGCTGGTACTAGATGACCGGGATCGATAATTGCCCTGTTCTCTTCACGCCCTCTGAAGCATCTGGCACCAGCCCCTGTCAGAAAGGATCCTTGGCTAGATGGACCATTGGTCTGACCCATTATGGCCATTCTACAGGACAATATTTGGTGCTCCGGATTATAAGGGCATATCTCACCTACCCTCCACCATCCGTCTGCTCCCCTCTTGTGTCAGGCACAGCATTACTCTACAGACGAATGCTGCTCTCACAAAACTTCAGAGAACAGCATTTGTTCCTATTCTCATGTCTTGACTGTTTATGATGGTGAAGCAAAGGAAAGGTCTCTTGTTCTGCAAGATTTCCCCTCACTGCAAGAGGACTTCCAATGTCCCCTGCAAGATATCAGGCTCCCACCAATTCCCCCTGCAGGGGAATTGCACTTTGTGGCAGGAACCCCAGTTTCCCTTTAAGAGCCCAATTCAGAAATGAGCCCTGTCAGCTGGTTGAAAAGAGCAGGTCCGTGGATCAGGAACACCTTGTATTAGGGAAACTCCCATAGATTCATAGATTCTAGGACTGGAAGGGACCTCGAGAGGTCATCGAGTCCAGTCCCCTGCCCTCATGGCAGGACCAAATACTGTCTAGACCATCCCCGATAGACATTTATCTAACCTACTCTTAAATATCTCCAGAGATGGACATTCCACAACCTCCCTAGGCAGTTTATTCCAGTGTTTAACCACCCTGACTGTTAGGAACTTTTTCCTAACGTCCGACCTAAACCTCCCTTGCTGCAATTTAAGCCCATTGCTTCTTGTTCTATCCTTAGAGGCTAAGGTGAATAAGTTTTCTCCCTCCTCCTTATGACACCCTTTTAGATACCTGAAAACTGCTATCATGTCCCCTCTCAGTCTTCTCTTCTCCAGACTAAACAAACCCAATTCTTTCAGCCTTCCTTCATAGGTCATGTTCTCTAGACGTTTAATCATTCTTGTTGCTCTTCTCTGGACCCTCTCCAATTTCTCCACATCTTTCTTGAAATGCGGTGCCCAGAACTGGACACAATACTCCAGTTGAGGCCTAACCAGCACAGAGTAAAGCGGAAGAATGACTTCTCGTGTCTTGCTCACAACACACCTGTTAATGCATCCCAGAATGATTGCTTTTTTTGCAACAACATCACACTGTTGACTCATATTTAGCTTGTGGCACAGTTCTCCTTTTCCTTCCCCCTCCGAACCGAATCTGCTCCCCCACATCACAGGTGGGAGCCACAGAGAGAGGAACTGATGCAGTAAGACAAAGACAATGGTCAGGAATTTGCCTCTGTGCATGTCCTGACTCTTTTGCAAAATGCCTCTTGATAAACTGCCGTGTAACTATTATTGATGTGACACTTCCAGGTGTAAGAATGACACTGGCTTCACTGAGCCCTGTCCAGAATTGTACGAGGTTGAGCAAGCGTGTGGGATCCTAACGAACCGCACCGGCCCATTTGCTGAGTGTCACTGGCACGAGAGCCCAGCCCCTTACTACGAGGCCTGTGTCTACGACCTCTGCCAGTACGGATGGGGCAATCGCATGCTGTGCGCAGCCGTCGACTCCTATGAAGAGATGTGTGCTATTCACGGCGTGAAGACCGGTCACTGGGGAGAAGTGACTGGATGTGGTAAGCAATAAGGGGCTTTGCTTGTATTCAGCATTAGTTACACTCTCCTGAACAGCCTGGAACAGACAAGATCTAGAATGAGCTACTTATTCTATCCATGCAATGCAGGGTGCAGTATAATTGGTCCCCCAGTGCCTCTGCCTGAGGTTACGGGGCTGCTAATTTGAATGCCAGGATGGAGTCTGTCTTCACACCCCAACATTATGGGGCTGCAGGAGCCCAAACCGCACAGCATGGAGCAGCACAAAGAGAAGCTCCACGCAGCCCGTGTGCAACGCAAATGTACTAATCCCACAATTCTGCAGATAAGAGCGTGGGGAAAAGACCTTCCCAGTCCCGAATCTGAGTTTTTATATGGGGTGAGCTAAAGAATGGCCCTGTGAGCCAGTGGCCTGGGGTAGCAGCCATTAATCTGGGGTTGTAGAGGTAGCTGTTATGCCTGGGTAAGGCAGAGGCCGGCATAACACAGCAGGGCAGAGGGGGACTTGCTGCAAGTGAACAGGAGACGTGGTGTGCACGGCTCCAGTATTTGGTCCTGCCATGAGGGCAGGGGACTGGACTCGATGACCTCTCGAGGTCCCTCCCAGTCCTAGAGTCTATGAATCTATGAATCTCAGTGGTATAGAAGGGAGAGGCTCCAGCCCAGCAGAAGGGTCCTCTACTGGGCACAGGGCACAGGCAGCGGAGTTGGCTCGCTCCTTCCCTGCACTCTCGGGAGACATTCGCCCCCAGCCCAAGGCCTAGACCCGACTTGTGTCCCACTGACACCTTCAAAATAGGATTTAAGTCAGTGGTGCCCAAACTTTTCCTCTTGCGGCCCCCGTTACCAGTGCCGGAATGTGTCTGTGCTCCCACAGCTCGTGAGCGGAGTCGCGGCCAGGCTGGGGGCTGCGGCTGGAGGGGCAGGGGCCAGGAGCTGGTGACCGACCCATAGCCAAGAACAGAGCCATGGCTGCAGCTGCGGTTGGCAGCTCGGGTCGAGGCCCCAGCCGAGCTGGTGGCAGAGTGTGCTGGTGGCACTCTCTCCCCGCTCCTCCGTGGGGGCTGGCCAGTGCCCCCCCGATGTTGCTCCGCACGCCCCTAGCAGGGCGCACCCTGCAGTTTGGGCACGACTGATTTAAGTGCTTGGGTGACCCCCGCACAGGGGCCAGTTTCACCCGGAGAGGACAGGGGCAAGGTGGTGGCTGCCTCCCCCTTAAAGCATCAGCATTCTGTGTCTCCTACGCCAATTACTCCGTCTTCGTAGTCGGAAGGTGGAGATGCAAACCCTGCAGCCGCCTGAGCGCCCATCTCGTGTTCCTGTGTCACAGCGGTTTTTACATCTAGAAGGCGGTTGCCAATATAGGGGTGGAAGTTACCAAACCCTGTGCACTAGGGATTAACCCTAGCAAATGGGACTTCTGCGTCTTCTGCATTGTCCTCTGGTGACTCTTTTTCCTCTATCCTAGACACCACCTGCCAAGCCAATAATTATTATGACTTCTGTGGCCCTGCCTGCCCTGCCTCTTGTGCCAACCTTAGTGCACCCCTGCTCTGCACCGAGCCCTGCGTGGCGGGATGCTTCTGTAGGGAAGGGTATGTGCTGGACGCTGGACGCTGTGTGCCTGTGAGCCGGTGCGGCTGCACGTTGAATGGTCAGTATCACCAGCTGGGAGAGGAGGTGATCCTGACAGACACCTGCAGCAGGAAGTGCAGCTGCCGACAGCCTGCCCAGCCCATGCAGTGCCAGGATCATGCCTGTGGGGCTCTGGAGATATGTAAAGTTGTGGATGGCGTCCGAGGCTGTTACCCTGTGAAGTTTGGCACCTTATGGGTGTTTGGCCACCCCCACTACACCACGTTTGACGGAGTCATGTTTGATTATCAAGGAGCCTGCAAGTACACCCTGAGCAAGTACTGTGGCCCCCCGGGGAGCCTCCCCGACTTCACCCTCAAAGTGGCGAACGAGCCGAAAAGCTCCATTGCAGTGTCCTGGACGCGCCTGGTGGAGCTCGACGTCTACAGGGAGCGGATTGCTATAGCAGGGGGACAGTACGGCCAGGTGCAGGTAAGAGCATTTCACAGCTCAGCCCGGAAATGATCAGGTGAGAAAGCAAAAGCCCTGGATTGTCTTGTGGGGGGAGAAGACCCGCGCACTGTCCCCTTAGATGTGTTCGGGCGGAAAGCAGGATGTTGAGGTGTCTTACCTCCCACTGTGACTTTGAGATGCTGTCCAAGTGAAGCGGGGTCAGTGTCCCAAAGCCGTTAGTAGGGCAGCAACTTTGATCAAAGCCATAAGGGGCCGCGCAGGTGAACTCTGCATCCACGCTGCACCCCGCCACATCTCGCACGCTGCCATGAACGTCGGGCCTCATTGCCACGGGAGAGACCGGCAGGCAGTTCATGGACAGCTTGAAAGGTAAAGGCCCAGTGAGGCATCAATTCTCACTGATCCCCAGGTGTGCAGGGACACGGACCCAGATGTGATGTGTCACAATGTGTGCAGTGACTAAGGATGCCTAGCAAAATAGGAAACCTTGCACTGCCATCACCAGGGCCTCTAAATCGACCCCTCGGGGACCTGGGGCGGCTGCCTAGAGAGAACCAGAGCTTCCCTGTCAGTTGCAGGCAGCTCTGTGCTTTTTCAGGTAATTCCCCAGCCTACAGTCAGAGACATTCTGAAGGTCTGAATGCCAAGCTGAGCCAGGCAAACAGTGCAGCCAAACCCCATGTCCCAATCCAAGGGCTCAGACCGCAGCCCAGCTGGGAAATAGCTGTGAGCCAGAAATGCACAGTGGGGTTTGGCATGACAGCGAATGGCCCATGTCTCGCTTTCCCCTAGGTGAACGGATCCCTGGTCAATCTGCCCATGGTCCTTGCATCAGGCAAACTCTACGCCTATTTCAGCGGCTCGTCTGCTGTGCTCCAGACTGACTTTGGCCTCTCTGTGTCCTACGACTGGTCCCACTCTGTGTCGGTTTCTGTTTCTGAGATCTACTTTGGGTCACTGTGTGGACTCGGTGGGGATTTCAATGGGAACCAGAGCGATGATTTCCGGACCCCAAACGGTTCTGTGGTTCCTGATGCCGTCAAATTTGGCAACAGCTGGAAGGATGCTGACTCCCCTTTTCACTGCACGGCTGTTGGGCTCCCAGCCCAATGTAATGAAGTGGAACTAGCCCAGTACAGATCTCAGCGCTACTGCGGGGTCATCACAGATACTACTGGGCCTTTTAAAGAGTGTAACCAGGCGGTTGCTGCTCAGATCCACTTGGAGAGCTGCGTGAGGGATGTGTGTGTGACTCGGGGCAGCCGCAAGACCCTGTGTCAAGTGCTTCGCAGTTATGCCCAGCGGTGCCAAAGTCGTGGCATTGCCATTGAGCCATGGAGACAGCGGGCTGCATGCGGTAAGTAGATGATTCCAAATACTAGGAAAATCTTTGTTAGTTTTACCCCCCATATCTTTCTCCTTTATGTACCCACTCAAGCACTGGGCTGGGCCTTAGTGGTCCGGCCACTCTCTGGTCTTATCTTTCCTCCATTTTTATTCCTGCCTAGGAAGATTCCCTGCAGTGTTTCTCCCGTATTTCTAAACACTCCTTTCTTTCTTTCAGAGTTAACCTGCCCCCCCAACAGCCACTATGAGCTCTGTGGACCTTCCTGCCCGGCCTCTTGTGCCCACCCAGCTGTGCCCTCCCGCTGCCGGACTGTGTGTGAAGAAGGGTGCCAGTGTGACCCTGGCTTTGTGCTGAGTGGCACCGACTGTGTGCCTCGGGAGCAGTGCGGCTGCACCCACAATGGCAGATACCACCTGGCAGGGGAAAGCTTCTGGGAAGGAGAAAATTGCCAGAGATTGTGCAGATGTGACGGCTCCTCCCACGCTGTCCAGTGCTCCCGCTCTGCCTGTGCCCCGGGGGAATTCTGTGGCACTCGAAAGGGGGTTTATGGATGCCACGAACGAACCAACGGCATCTGCTGGGCTTCTGGGCTGCCCCATTACACTACGTTTGATGGGAAACGATACGATTTCCAGGGCACCTGCAGATATGTCTTTGCTGAAGTGTGTGGGGCATCCCAGTCCTTACCCTTCTTCAGAGTGGAAGTGAAGAATGGAAACCTGCCCCGTGTTCCTGTGGCTGTGACCTCGGAGGTGTTTGTCCTTGTGAACAGGACTGAGATCCATCTGCAGAGAGGGCAGCACGGGACAGTCAAGGTAATTCCATGGGGCTAGCGCTCTCGGGGAAGGCACTGTATCACCATCTGTGGAGATTTAACCAGCACCATCACTCAGAACTTCCTGAAACTGTCACAATTCATGCCATGTCTACACCTGCGAGCTTACCGCGACACAGCGGTACCGATGCAGCTGCTCTGTGCTGACAGGAAAGCTCTCTCCCATCGAAATAATTAAACTGCCCCAACCAGCGGCAGTAGCTGTGTCGGCATGAGAAGCTCTCCCACCGACATAGCTCTGTCCTCACCAGTGCTTATGTCAGTGTAACTTATGTCAGTCTGGGAGGAGGTTTTTTCACACCCCTGAGTGAGACAAGTTTTTCCGACATAAGTGGTTGTATAGACATAGCCTCAGGCTGAGATATTCCATGCCTGTCTCTGCCGGAGGAAACTGCTGGTGTAACATTTGATCTGAAAAAGTTTAGCTATTTATTCAAACAAGAAAAATGAACCCCCCCCCAAGAATTTTCCTATTACAAACAGTTATTTCAGAGCTGATTTGAGCATGTCTAGTGTCAAAGCAGCTGGGGAGAGAACAGTGAAATTGACCTGGGCACTAGTCACCATTAAGGAGAATTGTCTTTGAGAGTACGGATGAAATTAGCTCTTTAGCTGTCTGAAAATCGCACCTCACCCACATGCAGTACCTGCGGGATGGTTTTTGCTCCTTTATCAATGCCCCAAATGAAGGAAAGTTGTGCTGTGCCTGGATCTTATCTGTATAGCATTCAGAGGAGTGCAGTCTAAACCACTGCACACTTGCCAAGGTGCAAACGACAGTGCCACCTGCTAGGGTGCACATGGACTGGATTGTACTAGGTCTTCTTCAAGAAACCTCGGAAAGCCGGGCTGAGGGGGGAAAGGAAAGAGGCCAGTGCTCAGTTTGACTCACTGCACACAGGGCCGGCTCCAGGCACCAGCCCACCAAGCATGTGCTTGGGGCAGAGCCTGGAGGGGGGCGGCGCGGCGGGGCGCACCGGCCCGAGAGCGGGGCCGTGACTGGGCTCGCCGCCCTCCCCCCCGGCGCTCCGGCCGGTCGGGGAGAGCGGGCCCCGGCTGGGCTCGCCACCCTCCCCCCAGCGCTCCGGCCGGTCGGGGAGAGCGGGGCCCTGGCCGGGCTCACCGCCCTCCCCCCGGCGCGCCGGCCGGTCGGGGAGAGCGGAGAGCCACAGTGGGCTCGCCGCCCTCCCCCCCAGTGTTCTGGCCGCCGGGGGCTCTCCGCCCTGCTCCCGGCACTCTGGCCGCCGGGGAGAGCGGAGAGCCCCAGCCGGGCTCTCCGCCCTCCCCTGCCGCGTTGGGGGGGGGGGGGCAGCGGGTTGCTTTTCTGCCTAGGGCGGCAAAAAAGCCAGAACCGGCCCTGACTGCACACCTGGTGTAGGAATGACTGTCATGGACCCCATCTGGCATACAAAGGTCAGTACGCTGCGGGAGAGGATGGCCACATGTGGAGGTTCGGAAATTGAATGATGAGAAGTAGTGATTAAAGGCTGTACGAACAGGCACATGCCCGGGGGAGTGTAGTTTGGATTGCGCATACACTCTGAAGATTAGCACTTCCTGACATGTCAGTGCCTTGCTGTGTATCCTTCCCCACCCTCATTGGTTTTATGCAATAGAAATTAAAGAGGGAGGGGGAAAGATGTCTTCATTATTCGTCTTGCTTTGGGCCTAGGAGCCCTCGTCATGTTGTGCTCGGTGCTACACAAACACAAAACAAAAAGACGTCCAAGCTTAATTCTCCTACCTACGCCCTCCCTGCCCACACACCCCTTCAAATGCTCCGGGGTTGTTTCTTACAGCAAATTGTCCTATGCAGCTACAGGGAGAAGATGGGTTTAATAGCTCTCTGCTGATCAGATTACAGTGGGATTTCCCCTAAACTCCTCACCTATCACCAACTCTGCCTGCCACTGCCCTGTTGTTTTACAGTGTGATCCACCCCCTGGATTAATCTCTTTGGTGCTGTTTTCCCCCAATCAGATCGCTGGAGTGACTGTGACCCTCCCGGTGAATGTTAAAACACTAGGAGTTGCCATTTATCAGCATGGGCTGTACACGGTGCTGCAGACTCCCTTTGGGCTGAGTGTGAGCTACGACCTGGCCCACAGCCTCTTCGTCAGCCTCCCACCTGAGTACCGAGGCCAGACCTGTGGGCTGTGCGGGAACTTCAATGGAGCGGCTGAGGATGATTTTGTGACGCGTAACGGCTCCCTAGGGAAGGACGCCTTCCACTTCGCTGCAGACTGGAAGTCGGAGGATGTCCCTGGCTGTGACGACGGCTGCTCTGATTCCTGCCCTGGGTGTGAAGAGGAGGAAAGTCTGGTGCAGTCCAAGTCCCGGTGCTGGGTGATCCAGGACCCTGATGGGCCGTTTTCCGCTTGCCACTCCCAGATTGACCCAGGCCACTATCTGTCTGATTGCATCTTTGACCTGTGTGTGTCAGGAGGGGAGAGCAGTGTCCTATGCCAGTCCATTCAGACATACGCAGCCGCCTGCCAGAGAGCGAATGTCTCCATCTCACCTTGGAGGAACGAGTCCTTCTGTGGTAAGCAGAGACCATGTTTGTGTTTTGCTTTTTAAATGGAAAGTGTCTCATTTGTGACTTGAGATGTTGCCACAAACAATGGCCGGTGATGTCACGTGTCAGGAGCCATTGGCTCCTAAGAACATACAGGTTGAGTGCTTGTTCCTCAAACATCTGAGCACGGCAGTGAATGCCCAGTGGTCACCAGCTTCACATCCTGGCTTAGCTTGAACATCCGTTAACAGAACGACCCAACTTGGGTCAGTTTCACTCACCTGCTGCCTGAGAAAAATGGCACCAAAGCTATTTGCCAGAGGAGGAGGAGAGGCAGGAGCGCCCCTTGTGAAGGAGACCTGAGTTGAGGAAGCTGTGAAAGAAAAGGGTGGGGATAGCTCAGTGGTTGGAGCATTGGCTTACTAAACCCAGGGTTGTGAGTTCAATCCCTAAGGGGGCCACCTAGGGATCTGGGGCAAAAAATCAGTACTTAATCCTGCTAGTGAAGGCAGGGGGCTGCATTCGATGACCTTTCAGGGTCCCTTCCAACTCTATGAGATAGGTATAGCTCCATATTAGTTTTTATTATTAAAGAGAGGGAGCGAGAGCGTGCTCCCCTTCTCCTTTCCAGCAGTCTGCAAGGGAGGCTTCACATTTATCAGATGCCAATGGCAGCAGTTGCTACAAAAAGATGGAGCCCACAGACAGCCCCCTGGTAGGAATCCCAGCTCCCTTTCCCAGCAGGTGGGGGATGGTTTCCTACTAGGGTGTTGCCCTGGCGCCTTGCAGTGGTGGGTGGGGGGAGAATGGGATGCTTCCTTTGTACCTACAAGCTGGTAGGTGTCTGGCAAAGTTCTCCCACCCTGTCCTAGTGGCTTTGCTCACTTCAGCTCCTGGAAACATCCTGAACTGGGCAGGACTGCCAAGGCCCTCTATCCCCTGCTGTGAATTCTGGGCTCCCCAGCTGGTGCCTTTTCATACCTTGTTCTGGAAACTCCAAGCGCCTCTCCCCGGGATTAACACCGGATCTTTTCTCTTCCTGCTCCTTCCTCTTTGCCAGCCCCAGGATGCCCAGCAAACAGTCACTACAAGCTCTGCGAGCCCCCCTGCCGGGATTCCTGTGCACGCCGCTTGATCCAGGCTCACTGCAGCCGTCTGTGTGCCGAAGGCTGTTTCTGCTACGACGGGTACCTGCGCAGCGGGGCCAGCTGCGTTCCAGAGAAGCAGTGCGGCTGCGTGCGCAACGGGCTGCACTACCCGGTAAGTTTCCTGGCGGGCGCTTTCCTGGCTCCAGTGTACTGAGGAGACCTTTTGGCAAAACAGTTTTTTCCATCAGAAAATGCAATTTTCACCTTTTTTTTGTCAAAATCAAAATGTTTTGTCGGAACGTGTCGATTTCAACAAAACTGCGTTGGTTAGGTCATCGTTTGGTTCATTTCATTTTGACATACATTAAACTATTTCCTTGCATGTCTTCACGTTTCTAATATTGAATGTGCTATAAATATTGGGGTAAATATATTATGATGTTTTACATGATCTAAACAAAATGTTTTTAGCTTAGTGAAACAAAACAGTTTGACATGACCTAAACAAAACATTATGATGACTCCAAATCCATTTTTCTGGAATCTTCATTTTGCAGGAAACTTCAGCATTTAGTTCAGTTTGGAATGAAAACTAAGTTCCAAATGTTAGCCGTTCGCATGGAACGGAAATCCTGTTTTCCGACCAGCTCTGCTACTGAGCCCCGTGGGAGGTGTCCAATTGACAGGGAAAGCCACAGAGAAACCTGGATAAACTCTCTGTTACTTCACTCACCTCTGTGGCTGCTTCGGTCACATCACCAGAGCTGTTAACCAGGGGATAGATCCTACATCTGCATGGCCTAAGTGCACCCTTGTAGAGCAATGGGATTCCATGTGGATGTGCTAATCTACCCATGTCCCTGGGCCAGCCAACTCTCATGCACCCCCTTGTGGTCTAGGGTCATGCTACAGGCAGCCTGCCTCAGTTTCCCCTCTTGTTCCAATAAAACTTCCCTTCAGGTTTTTGCTTGGTCAAAAATTCCCCTCCTTGGGGACTAGGTTTATTAATGTAAAAGAACCACAAATAAAACTCAAAATCCCAAATAGAATCCACAATGCAGGGTTTCTCCTCCTCCCCCAAGGGCTTCCTGCGTGGGGCCTTTGCAGCCTCTCCCCTGCTTGGTCAGGGTCTCTCCCAGACTCCCCTGGTCTCAGGGTCTTCCTGGTAGGTGCTTTTCCTCACTCTCTGCAGACTCTCTCACAGCCACGGCTGACCTTTCTAGGGAATAACCTGATTCACCCCCGGTGGGGCTCGTTCTGTCGCTAGGGCTGGTTAGCCCCATCCCTTAAGGGGCGAGTCACCTGTCACCTGCAGCACCTTCTTGGACTGGGACTTAATCTCTCATTTACGATTTGGGCTATTTCCCTTCTTTCCACCCCATGCTTCCTTCTACAGCTACGCTCTCCTGACTGGTTTCTGTCTGTTACCCCTGCAGGTTGGGGACCGGGTCTGGCTCTCTGGTTGCCAGGAAAGGTGCAGCTGTGACGGCCATTTCAATTTTCATTGCGTCCCCGCCAGCTGTAACCCCGGCCAGCAGTGTGCTGTGAAGGACGGGAAGTTGGGCTGCCAGAGCCAGCTGAGCACGTGCACGGTGACAGGGGACCCTCACTACTTCACCTTCGATGGGGCTGTGGCCCATTTCCAGGGCACGTGCGCCTACGAGATCTCACACACCTGCAACTCCTCCCTCGACTTCTCCTTCCGGGTGGTGGCCGAAAACAGGCACCGCAGGAATCGCCGAGTCTCTTTCGTGTCCCGGGTGGACGTCTGGCTCGAGAGAGGGGATCAGAATGTGCACGTTGTCCTAGGGGACAGCAAGGCTGCTGAGGTGAGCGTGGAGACATTTGAAAGGAGCTCCAGCCCCAGGAAGCCCTCCCTGTCCGAGCCCAGCACAGCCCCTGCTAGTGAACGCTGCTCCCCAGGGGATCCCAGCCCCCCACACCTCTGACCCCAGCCCAGCCCCTGCTAGTGAACGCTGCTCCCCAGGGGATCCCAGCCCCCCACCCCTCTGACCCCAGCACCCAGACCCTGCTAGTGAACGCTGCCCCCTGAACCACCCCCCCCATTCCAGCGCCCCTGGTCTGTGGCGCTAAGACTTCTGGGCATGTGTCATGGCCCTTAGTGCTGCAGTAAACTGAGCCGCTCCATTAATTCGTTCCCAGTGCACGGCGAGAGAGCGTCTGTCCTTCCTGGGCAGGGCTGGGGGGGTGTTGGGAAGGCACTGAAGTGACACTAGTCGGCATCCAGATTTCAGGGGAGCTGTGATGAATTGTGCTCGCTCAGGGTTTGGCCTCTGCCCCCTCTCAGGCCAGCCAACATGAGGTCAAAGCCCCGCCAGCCTCGTGTGCAGGGTGTGTGAGACCGGGACTCCAGGCGGGCGCTAGGCCATGCTTAGCTCTGCTGGGAAGAGACGGCTCTTGAGCAGGGGCTGTTCGGTTGTGCTGCTCTGAGCGCAGTGGGGTCCTGGCCTGTGACTGGGCTCACACGCGCCCCTGCAATATAAATGAGGAGGGAAATCAGTTTTCGGGGCCTCAACCTAGAACCTGCTGAACATCTCTGCTTCCCAGCCCCCGCCCCGCTTCAGCTCAGCCCTGGTGGCCTGGTGCCCCCAGAGCTGTTCCAGGCCTGGGGCTCCATGATTGCGGAGGGCGAGGCTTTGGCCTCCCCCCAGGGGAATCGCGCCTGGCGGGTGGTGTCTGAGCGGCGCTCACTGCCCTGCGTCCTCTGCTCTTTCAGGTTAACGGGGCGAGGGTGAGCCTGCCGCACGCCCTGGGCCCTCTGGGCAGCGTGTCCAGGATCAGAAACCTGCTGACCATCCAGACCCCAGCCAACGTGGAGATCCAGTTCAACGGGCGCCACACGTTGTTCGTCCGCGTGGGCCCGGAGTATCGGGGGCGGCTGTGCGGGATGTGCGGGAACTTCAATGGCATCCGCAGGGACGATAAAGTCCTGCCCAGCGGGGAGAGAGCCCGGAGTGACGCAGAGTTTGGGAACGCCTGGAAGGCTGAGCCCAGCCCGGCCAGGTCTGTGGGATCCTGGTGGACCAGCGGGATCCCTGGGGGTGTTTGGTAGCTGTTTACCGGAGAAATTAACCGAGGCTTTCGCGTTGGGATAGGTCATTGTAGGAGTGGAAGCTGCTGGACTGGGCTGGGAGGCAGAGCTCACAAATGAGGCTCTGGGAATTGGCAGTGATGAGACAGCTGCTTGGTGACTTGTTTGGGTCTCAGGCCTGTTCCTTGTGGTACGGGCAGATGAATGGAGTGGAGGGAGGGGGGAGAGCTGGGTGATCAGATGAATGGAGCAGGTGGGGGTAGAGAGAGAAGGTGACAAACTCTTATTCCATTACTTTTTAAGAACTAATTATTTCCTGTTCACTTCACTGTAGGTTGAGGACAGGACCTGTGCACGCGTGTCTGTGTGTGTGCGTGTGACTGTGTGCGTGCGTGTCTCTGTATGCGCGTCTGTATGTGTGTGCATTCGCCTGTCTGTGTGCGTGTCTGCACATGCGTCTGTGTGTGCGCATTCGCCTGTCTGTGTGTGTCTGCACACGCGTCTGTGTGCGTGTGCATTCGCCTGCGTCTGTGTGTGTCTGTGTGTGTGCACGCATGTTGTGACAGGCTCCTCTTTCCACTCCCCTACCTCTCACCCAAGTCCCATCCCCTCCCCTTCCCCCGAAGCACGCTGGGCTTCATTTATTTGTGTGCATGAGAAATCACAAGCTGGAGCGGCCCTGGGAGATGTGCTGTAGGCTGGCACAGTGCATGTTGCTGGGAGGCAAAGCTTAATACAGAGCTCAGAAGGGTCCCTGGTGAGAGTGGGGGGAGGGTCAGACACTCCCTAGGTGATACTAGAGAGAGCCACTCCCTTTGCCCTGCCCCGGGTACTGCTAACTTCCCTTTGTTCCAGGTGTTTGGATGACATCGACTCCCCCGAGCCCTGCAGCGACCCCCTGGAGTTTGAAGAGCTCTGCGGGACCCTGACTAGCCAATCGGGACCATTTGCCGAGTGCCACTGGCATGTGGACCCTGCCCCATTTTACTCCTCCTGCCTGTACGACATGTGCCACTACGGGACGGCCAATGGGATGCTGTGCATGGCCATCGCCTCCTACGAAGAGCTGTGCAGCCTTGAGGGGATACGCGTTGGCGCCTGGAGATCATCTGCGCAGTGCCGTGAGCACCAGTTCCACCTGCAGGCCCAGGGACAGAGCACTGGGTTGGGGAATTTGGGAGTGTTGAGATTGAGCCTGAAATCTTGGAGGAGCCATAAAGCCAATGACCTGATCCCCCGTAGTCATTAAAACCCTTTGGGGGGCATCCGGTGTCCTAGTCACATCCCCATTTGGGTATTTACATTCTTCCTCCTCCGTTCTCAAACGAGGATTCTCCTCCACTTCCTGCCACAACACACTGTGCAGTGTTCCTGTAGGCTGCACCTCACCCCAGGGGTGGCTGCATTTTAGCACTGTGTGAACAATCCCTGTATGGTACTTGTGTGGCTGCTAAAACAGCCGCTGGGTCCCACTCCTGAACTGGTTGCATTGCGGCACCGGCAGAGCAGCGTTGCTCTGTGACTGCTAGCCCGCTGTTGGGGCCCACCCCAGAAGCAGCCACCTTTCAGCCCCACTGAGCTATTAATCTGCTGCCTGCGCCCAGCCCAGAGGCGGCTGTATTCCGGTGTGAGGTGAGGGAACGCTGTGATTTGCCAAATGCTTTGTGGTGCATTGAACTGGAAAGGCTCGAGAAATGTACAAGTTGCCCTTAGAAATACAGGGGATTGGGTAGATCAGAGAACAGCCCCAGGTACAATCAACAGGTGGGCTGGAGCAGGCTCCTCCTTGCTGCTACTAAACTCTGATTCACTCTGCAGCCGTGCGTGACCCGTGTGTCGGTCTGGCCTGCGGGGAGGACGAGTGGTGCGGCGAGCAGGCAGGGAGATGGGGCTGTTACTGCTACAGGGCTTCTGAGCCCATCCAAGTGGCTGACTATGGTAAAGAGCCATTTCTGATCCCTTCCTCTCACTCCTGGTTTCCTCCGGCACTCAAGGCACGGAAATCTGTCCGTGCTTTCCATGCCAAACGGCCTCTGCCGGGCTATGTCTGCCGCGAATGCCTTGGCTCCGGGAACAGGGGACAGCAGATTTCCCAAGCTTATGTCTCTCGTCATCACACAGTGCGAGGGGCAGTGATTAGAGGCAAGGAGCTTGGCACAGGGTTATGCTGGGGAAAGAGTTGGCAACAAAGACGACTCTGGGCTCTAATTCTGGCTCAGGCACCAGCTCCCCATGTGTCTTCTAAATGTCCTGAGTCTTTATCGTGCCAGACGGAAACGTGGGTAAAAAGCTAGGCTGCTCGGAGGAGGGGAGGAGACGGGACCTCCAGATTCAGACGGGGAGCCAGCTGTCTCCCTCTCCAAGCCCCTGTCATCTGCCTGCTCCCTCTCTGCCGCCAAGGCAGCTGGCTCCCAACCCCGGCCATCAGGGGTCTGGCTGCAGTGCCTAGCACGTGCGTGGCCTCTCGGCCGACAGTGGGCGAGTTCTCAGAGCTCTCGTTGAAGGAAGGGTTACCAGGCCCATGGAGTGGGCAAAGGAGCCCAGTGTCCCATGGGCTTGCAGCTCCACAGCGCCGGTGGGCTCTGCTTGGCACGCCAGGAACCAGGAGAGGCCCCATGCGACGGACTCTGCCCTCTACCAGGTCTCACTTCCCTTCCAGACTATCAGCTGACCTGCAGTGGCGGTAACAGCTCAGTGTCCCTGTCCCGCTGCCTGCTCTTCACCGACGGCTTCCCCGCAGAGGCCTTGCACCTGGCCGACCCCAGCTGCACCGGCAGCCTCCTCAGGGGGAGACTC